GGTGTTTGGTGTTCGGCTTTGTCCTGTTTGCGCCGATTCGCAGGATCAGTTTTCGTTATGAGCTCGGGGGTTGGAGCTCCAACTCGTCATTTACTGGGGGAAAACCCTGCCAGTGTGTCTCTGCACTAGCTGGATTCATGCTGTCCGAAATGTGTGCGAAATGTGTGCGGAAGCACCGGAGCATCTGCGGCTCGTTGCGGGGCTCAATGGACATCATCTTGCTTTTACACTAGTACGCTTGCGCCTGTTGTCAACCGGTCATAAGCCGACTGCCTCTCCAGCATGCGCAGGGCGCGCTGCTGCTCTCTTGTGAGCTGAGGCGCCTCCTGTGGAGCCTCAGCCGGTGGTGCCTCTGCCGGTGCCTCCGCTGGTGGTGCGTCAACCGGTGCCGTCTCAAGTGGAGGCGGCTTTGGCTTGCGCTTTGGGGCAGCCGGCTCAGTAGGCACGTCCTGCTTCGGTTTGTTCTTGCTGCCAGGAGGCCTCCCCCTCCGTTTCGGCTCCGGTGCCTCCGGCTCCGGCGCAGCGCGCGCCTCTGGCGCCTCTTGTTCGATCGGCTCCATCCTTTTTAATTATACGTGGTCAAGATATAACACGAACGACAAAGACGACCCGCGAAGCTGGACGACGTTGCCGTCCAGGTCGGTCAGCCGGAAGCGCATGTGCCTCAAGGTGACGGGGCCCCTGAGGGCCATGAAGTGCCCGTCGTCTGAGCCCGTCTCCACCATGGTGCCCACGCCACTCTTCAGCGTGATCTTGGAGAGGATGTCGTCGCCCAGGTTGCCCAGTACTCTACTGGCGTTGGCCAGCTGGGCGCAGCGCAGGTAGACCTCGTTGTGCGCCATCATCCGGACGAACTCAAAGACCTGCTGCCCGCCGGAGACGAAGCTCGGGCCCAGCATGTGGTCCACGCTGAAGGGCTTCGTCGGAGAGGCGGGCGGCGCGGCGGGGTAGTCCGCTGCATCTGGGAATTGCTGCCGCAGCTCCAGGTCGTTCAGGATCAGCCGGTTACCGTTGTAGGCAACGCTCAGGCTGTTTGTGGTCTCGCTATAGGTGGCGGTGGCAAAGTTGGAGCTGACCCAGGCGGCCAGCCGGGCGCCCGTGTACGCGCCCTCAGGCAACAATGCCCAGTTCAGCGTGCCCAGCGCGGCGTCAACCCAGTAGAGGTAGCGGCCCCGGTCCGTGGACAGGAAACTGTCGCCCAGGCGGAGATTGTAGACGGCAAGCCGGGCGTCGCTCTGCAGGTGCAGCGACTCTCCCAGGTCGACCTCAAAGTCACTGTCCGAGCCGGCCACCCTGTTGCGGCTGTCCACGTAGATCGTTGTCATCCTTTTCTTTAGGAAACCACCCGTCCGGCGGACGACGGGCGGCTGGACGGCTGCGACGGAAGTGCAGCAGGAGATGTTCTCACACTTCGCGTTGATCAGCGTGGAGCTGGCGAACAGCTTCTGGCCCAGGAAGCTGAGCGCCGCTCCCATCGGCGTCTTTTTCAAGCGCGAAACGTTCTTCGAAGCGCTTGTAGAACATTTCGTTCTTCGGCTTCAGGTAGTACACGAAGAGGAAGCTGTAAGGTTCTCGGGTCGCCTGCTCATACAGCCGGCACAGCTAGTCGGGCAAAACTGTGGCGCTCATCAGTCTCATCCTGGAGCAGTACAAGGGCGTGTTTGAGCGGATCTACGTTTTCAGCCCAAGCGTCAACATCGATGATGGCTGGATCCCCGTCAAGAAGTACATCGAGCAGGACCTGGGGGTGAACACGGAGCGTGAGCAGGCTTACTGGGACGAGTGGGATGAGTCCGGCTTGCGGCGCATCATCCAGCAGCAGCGCAAGATCACGGAAGCGTCCAAGAAGTTGGAAATGAAGAAACTGTACCAGGTGCTTGTAGTCATCGACGACTTTGCGGACACGCCGCAACTCCACAAGCCGCACGGCGCCCTTGACACGCTCTTCATCCGAGGCCGTCACATGCAGATCAGCACCTGGGTGAGCTCGCAGAAGCTGAGGCTCATCAGCGCAGCCGTGCGGGTCAACATGCAATTCCTCTGCTGCTGGAGGCTGCGCAACCAGCACGAGCTGGACGCCGTCATCGAGGAGCTGAGTGCTGGGCCCAAGGAAGATGCCCGTGCATGGCACCGGGGCACCACGGGGTCCGAGGCTTGCTTGATGGTGTATTCAGGCGTGGGGAAAAGCTTCATCTTCCCCATTCGTCCTTTTGCGTTACGCAAGTTCCGGAAGCCGGCCAGCGAGTCCGGTACCTGAAAGTAAAGGCCGGCAGCTGAAGTATACGCGCTGGCCTATCTGCGGCTGCCCTAACCCAGCAGCAATGCAATCCTGTTGCCGGCGCAGGATTGACGGAGACGCAACCCAAGGCTCACATGCAGCAAATGAGGCCAAGAGAATTCCACCCTTCTGCTCTGAGTTACCGTTGCGCTTAGAAAGCACTTATCATGCTTTTCGAGCCACAAAGCTCCACGACAGAAACGCACTTACAAGGCCAGAAACAGCGCTTTGAGCCCGGGCAACTTAAACTTCCGAGACGCACAGAATGCGACTAGAACCCGTTTTGCCTGCATATTGAAGCAGGCTGAAAACCCTTGCAGAAGTGCAAGCAGAAGGGCTGTGGCCGCACCGCGCAAAACCACCAAATTTTCGCAGAATCCACATTTGCTGAATGATAACCTCTGAGGATGCGCTGTGAGCGGTTTTAGATTTCACAAATAACAGAGAGAGGGGAGGGGTTCCATGCAAAAAGCAAGCGGGCATTTACTCAAACGTCTGCTTCTTCTTCTTCTTGCTCAGAAGGGCGCAGGCAGCTTTTGCCGTTGTGTTTAAAAGTTGCTTGTTGCCAGGTTGGTTTGGTGAGAATTGGGACGCAGGCACCAAGAACTTTTGCCGTCGTGTCCGAAAGTTGCTCGTTTGGAAAGGGTTGGGGCGCAGGCTGCCGTCGTGTTTGAAAGTCATGCTCAAGGCCTGTCAAACATGTTCTTCTTGCTTTTGCGTATCCGTTTTAATGTTCTTTGTGATGAGAAAGCTCACAGGCAAGGCGGCGCTTGTTCGTCTTTTTGTCTACGCACCTGTGGCAGGAGAGGCGGCGTTGGCCACCAGGGCAGGAGGAAGGCAAGGGCCTCCAAGCAGGTTTAGAAGGCTTCTGCCTTAGTCAGCGTGTTCTTGTTCGTGCAGCCACCTCCCTCCCTACGACGCGCCCAGGCTCACAAGAATGCAGTTCTTGACAGGATGAACGCCGAACTTGCTGGCGCTCGAGATAGAACCTTGGAGCTTCAAAACAAAGAGCTGTCGCAGGAGAAGCTGGATTTGCACGCTAGTGTTGCTTCGTTTCGGGCCCTGAATGAGAAACTCGGCGCAGATCAAGGCGGCCAGCCACATTGGCAACCAGACCGTGGAGCGTCGAGATCGCGCGGCTAACTGCAGAGCAGGCCTGAATTGCAATTCTTCCATGTTTGTGGAGTTGCATCTCTTTGTATCCAAGGACGCAAGAGGAAATCCCAACCTGACAGCAGCTCTGTCGCCAAGGCTTGGCACAATCGCCATTCATTTGCTAGTTCCGACCTGCAGGAAGACAAGAAGACAAAGCACGCCGCTCAGGGACGTCAGGTGTGAGGAATGCGTTCTTTTTCAAGTATCCTTCCACTCCGACTTTGACAGGCTTTGGAAACTACGTTGACCTGCAAGGCAAGTTCTTTTGTTTTCTAGAGGCTCAATTTCCATGGTGCAACACTTGCGTTCCGGAGAGGCGCTTCCAAAGGGGCCGTTCGAGCCCCCGCAGTACAAGAAGACTGGGCGAGGACATTTTGAGCCGTCAGGTAGCTGCAAGCGCGACTGGGTCGGGAACAAGTTCGAGCAGTGAAAAAAGTCTGCGACCAGGGTGGGGTAGGGGGTTGTGGGGCGCTGAACAAGCGCGGCACTGAGCAAGTGCCTGTAGGTAGGTGCGCTGAATAAGCGCGGCGCTGAGCAAGTGCCTGTAGGTAGGTGCGCTGAATAAGCGCGGCGCTGAGCAAGTGCCTGTAGGTAGGTGCGCTGAACAAGCGCGGCGCTGAGCAAGTGCTTGCCAGTAGGATCAACAAACGTGTTGACACTGGTTCGCCCAACGGCCCTTAGTACGAGTTCGCCCAACCTCGTTTGATACTGGCTCGCCCAACTGGGCCCCGTTTTTACGTGTTTTTGCACGATTTTGGGGTTGCACCCTTTTGCACCCTGATTGCACCCTAATTGCACCCTGATTGCACCCTGATTGCACCCTTCAGCCGGTTGGCTTTTGCACGTTTTTCTGCTTGTTTGATTGTACCCTTTTCTCATCCTCTCCCCCTCTTTTGCACGTTTTTACGTGTTTTTGCACGATTTTGGAGTTGCACCCTTTTGCACCCTGATTGCACCCTAATTGCACCCTGATTGCACCCTGATTGCACCCTTCAGCCGGTTGGCTTTTGCACGTTTTTCTGCTTGTTTTTGTTTTGCTTGCTGTGGCTTGAGTCCACATATTGTTGCACGACCTTGCTTGTTTTGAACGCCTTTGAGGCCTCCGAAGAGGGTGCCGAACAGTACTAGTTTTTTCGAGGGCCACCGATTCTCCCTCTTTGCTCTCGGGTGGCTTGAGATGCGCCAATGCCCAAGCTCGAAGCTATTTTTGCTGACAGCAGACGACATTGTCGAGACTTGAAGGCCTGGGAGACTGGGGTTTGACGACGGAAAAATCATTTTGTGTTTGGCTACGAAGCACAGGCATCCCGATGTTCAGGTCAATGAAGCGAGCTGCAAGCAGGAGTCCCGTTGTCTCCAACCAGGACACCCCGGGGGAGTCCTCTCACGGCATTGCGTTGCCTCCGAGTGGGGCTGCCCCGAGAGCGGAAGAGCATCCAACAGGCGCGGTTAGGCGCAACCCGGATCGTCCCGTGCTTGCCCCCTTGGCAGGCGGCGACGTCCCCCAGACTCCGTTGGCAGGTGGGGCGGTCCCTCAGCCATCAGGCCCGGTTTTTGTCAGAGCGAGGCGCTCTCGTGGCAGCCGTGGTCTGCGTGTTAACGGCAGGCCCCCCGACATCGGCTGCCAGCAAGAAGAAGGGCAAGAGGCCTTCCACGCTTGATTGCGCCAAGAGCGCTGGACGAACCTACACTGGCGTGTTTGCCATCGAGGAAGGAGTCAACTTGGACGCCCTGTTCACCTTGGCAAGCCCGAGAGCTGCGGACACCGTACCGCTCGTCTGCCACGAGGGCGAGGCCGATGAGTATCGTGGCAACACCTTACGTCGGGAGCTGTGTTGGCTCATGCGCCGGCTCAACTCCCACAGCAAGATGCAGACCTACTGGCGCGACACTTGTCTGGGTCCTTGGCAGGTGTACAGGGCCGACGGCTGTCCGGGTTGAGCCACACCTCAGGAGTTCCCGAGGCCTTGGCAAACAAGATCGAGGACGTGGAGGGCCAAGTAGGCGCTTGCACTTGGGATGTGACAAAGGGGCTTTTCACCTTCCCCAAGTGGCTTCGCAACGTGCTACGCACTCCTGGAGGAATCAATGTGGACCAGTCCATGAGCCATTGCTTCGCCCAGCTGGAGAGGCACCCCGACGCGGTCTGCCTGCGGTACTACGTGAACAATCGAGCCGAGTGCGAAGGCTTCGCTGGAGACCGGGACCTGGCGAAGAGGCTTTTCCGGGGTCGCATGAACGGCGGCGGTGCAAACCATGTCATGAGTATCATGGGCAAGGCTGGCAAGACTGCGGACCAGGTTTTCTGCCTTCGTGTGGGATTTCGCCAAGGAGCAGACCTTGTTGATGCAGAAGGATGCTGATGCACATCCTCAGCTGGCCCAAGTCTTCCAAGCGAACGGCTACCACTGGCCTGCTGCCGCCGTCCAATCTCTTCTCAATGAGAGGCACGAGAGGGCGGTTTTGAACCTCATGGAGAATGTGGCGCGTCGGTGCGGCAAGGTGCAGAGCTACGAGCACGACGGGCTCTACTGTGTGGTCCACGAGCACCTCAGGGAGACGATGATGAACGACATAAGGCAGATTGCCTCGGTGTCGACTCAGGCGCCAGCATCCCTGGACGAAACGTTGCAGTACCTTCAGACCAAGTTCCCTGAGCACGACTGGAGCGTCAGGGATGAAGGTTGGGAGGAGTTGGAGGACGCGAGGATTGAGGTACGGCAGCGCTGCTTGAAAGGGGAGACCAACTTCCCGAAGCTGATTGCAGATGTCGTGCCGCACCACGTCACCAGCGCTGGTTATCAGGTGCGCGAACTGATGAAGGCAACCCCAGTGACAACCGATCGCGTGACCCTCATGACGTACGACAACGGCTGCTGGCGTGACCTCGGCGCTGTGGCCGCCGCCACCCTGGAGGATGTTATGCGAGATGTTCTGAAGAAGTGCATCGGCAAGAGGCCTGTCCAGGGCTGGCCCCGAGTGGTCCACTGCGCCCATCCTCAGGTGGCAACCATGCTCAACAAGAGCAAAGGTGGGTTGTTCAACATGCGGTGGCACATGGATCTGGATGGGGGCGGGACCAGAGGATATTTTGTCTACGATGGGGGGAGTACCAGGACTGCTCGGACTACCAGCTGAAGAAGATGCACCTGGCATCCCCGTAAGTCGCACAGCAGGGCGATCGTACCCGCATAAGGAGGTGGCGGCTATCTGGAGCAATCTGGAGGAGGAGCATCTGGACTTGGAGGATGTGGTGACCCGCGCGCTCGCGCAAGAGCAGTTTGCGGCGGTGCAGGCAACCTCGTGCAAGGCTTTGCCGGCGGGGTTCCGCTACAGCACGGACCTGGAGGAGGACCTCGCTCGACTGCAGAGGATCTTGCCTGGCGTGGAGCTCTTGCACTCCTGCCACGAGGACTACGCTGACACCATGTTCCTGCTGAAGGTTCTTTCGAGAGTGAAGGGAAGTCGTCAGAACTTTGAGGAGTGCTTCTTCCATCTGGGACACGGCCAGAACGGCAAGGGCACCTTGAACTTGGTGCTGCGCTGCTTCTGCGGCGACTACCATTACGAGCCCAAGCCAGAGACCTTCACTAGCCTCGGAGACCCCACTGGCTGCTCCCTGAACATCTCGCAGCTCAAGGGTAGACGATCTCTCTTCGTGAACGAGGTCGAGGCAGGCGTCAAGCTCCGCTCCGGTATGCTGAAGGATCTGCGGGATCAGACTGCATTCATCGAGGCCAGGGGCCTCTACCGGGACCCGATCCAGTTCAAGATGCGCCGATCCTTCACAAGCGTCCCATGGCCGCTGAAGTTCATCATGAACCCAAGGTCGGGCACGAACGAGCGCCCGTCGCGGGACATCAAGAATTCCAACTTCATGATGAACTCTGTCGTGCCTTCGTTGGAGGTTATCTTCCCCATCATTGACAGGATCGTTTTCCGCGGCTACAACGGCACACTGATCGAGCCCCGGCCCCACTCCATCGTCACAGCGACCTTGGCTCTCTTCGAGTGCATGCAAGAGCTGGACATGAAAGCCTTCTTGGAGGAGCACTTGCTTCAAGTCGAGAGCGCAAACATGGCCGCGCCACAGGGCTCCATTCGGTCCTGGATTCGGCAGCAGGAGAGCGTCCGAGACATGAGACTCTCGCCGAAGGCTCTGGAGCGGATGCTGGACAAGATCTTGACGCCCAAGGTGGTGGGGGGAAGACAAATTTTTTCCCTTGCAGGCCGAGATGGCGTGTATGTCCAGGAGTACAGGAGTAGCATTGGCACACATCTTTTGTTTTGGCACAGCTTGGACAGTGCGCGCAGCCCCATGAACAGCCAAAGGCGGCTCGCGACAGAAAGAATCCGCAAAGATCAAAATTGATTGGAACGAGCGGTTTGAGCTAGGAAGGTATGTGCAAGGCATTTGAGGATGCACAGAGTGCAGGGTATTGCTGGATGATGTGGAGCTTGGCTCTAAGTGCCTTTGGCAAGCCATCCGATTTGCGCTAGCCGATACAGCTCAGCGCAGGCCAGCCAGCAGAGGTGAGGGAGAGGGGGGGGGGGACGCCGGGACCATCCCCCTGAAACCGGGTACTAATTTGGCACCCTGTTTGGAGGCTCCGAAAATGCGTTCAAAATCTCTCAAAAGCAAGCACAGTCGTGCAAAGATATGTGGACTCAAGCTAAGACAAGCAAAAAATCAGGCAAAAACGTGCAAAACCCAGCCAGCGGAAGGGTGCAATCAGGGTGCAATCAGGGTGCAATTAGGGTGCAATCAGGGTGTAAAAGGGTGCAACCCCAAAATCGTTCAAAAACATGCAATATCGAGCAACAAAGAGGGTGTCGCGACTCAGCCTCTCAGGCATGCCCGGGCAAGTGCACGCTCAGAAACGCGTTTAGGGTTTGATACTGGTCCGCCCAACCTTTGGTTTGCCGAGGATCCCAAACCCTAACATTTGCACCGTTTTGCGCCACACAATGCCATTACTCTAGTGCCTATATCAATATAGACACTGGAGTAATAGCTTTTTGCACGGTTTTTGCGCTACAAAATGCTATTACTCCAGGCCGTATATGTGTGTACACCCTGGAGTAATAGCTCGTTTTGCACGGTCTTGCGCCACAAAATGCTATTCCTCCAGGGCCTACATTTATGTACGGCCTGGAGGAATAGCTTTTTTTGCACGGTTTTGCACGGTTTGCCCACGCCAGCCCCGCTCCTTTGATACTGGTTCGCCCAACCCGTTGGTTTCCCAAGCGCCCCAAACCCTAACTCAAAAAGGAGCTGAGCAGACCAGGATCAGGCAATTCCGCCTTGTGATCAAACTGTTTTTGCACCAAAAAGGGTAGCCTCAGAGTCCGGGAATTTCCCCTCACCCTGAAGAACGCCTCAAAACTGTTTTTTTCCAAAAGAAGGCTAGTCGATGGTCCTGGGCCTCGGAGGCGCCAGGAAGTCGTCCAGCTGCCTCACAGCCGCCGGCCTGCCCCGTCTCGTCAGTCGGTGCCGCCCGGCAGCGCCAGCTTCCCGGCCCTCCGTGCTTCGGACGGTCATGGAGTCCACGGCCCCCAGCTGCTGCACGTCGCCGTACTGAGGGTTGAAGCTCCTTGCCGCGTTTGTCGGCGCTCGGAAGGCGCCCGCGTCCTCCACCATGCGCCGGTCCGTGAGGTCCTTGTTGTGCTGGAACTTGTCGGCGTTGTCCTGCAGCAGCCGGAACTCGGTGGCCGGCTGCTTCTCCACGTCCTCGGGCGCGCCGTAGTTGTAGGCCCCGGCCGCCCGCTCAAAGTGGTCGCTCCACTGCCCGCCCTTGCGCGCCACCCTCGTGGCCAGGTCCTTCTTCAGCGTCTGGATGCCCCGGTCCACCACGGCCGTGGCGTTGCGGTCCTCGGGCCGCTTCGTCCGGCGCACGGCTTTGGGCAGCTCCCGGTCCAGCGTGGCGAACTCGTTGCCCAGGTCTGTCGTGACCACAAAGTTCTTGTCGTCCCCCGTCAGCTCCTGCGCGGCGCGCTTGGTGGCCCGGCCGCCGTCTCGGCGTTCTTGTTCTGCAGAGTTTCCACGGCGGCCTCCCGGGTGAAGACGTCCATCACCACCAGGCCGTACCTCGTCTTCCCCCGGGTGTTCTGGCTGAAGTCGATGAGGTCGGCCTGCAGCCGGTCGTTCGGCCCCTCGGCGGCCGACTTGCCAAGCGCGCGCGGCCGTGGCGCCTGCACCTGCCGGCCCACGTCGGCCTTCAGCGCCTCAAAGGCCATGGCCTGCGTCACGTCAAGGTCGCGCTGCCGTGCAAGTTGGTACAGCTTCCGCGGCCCCTCACGTTGAAGTCGTCGGCCAGGTCCCTCAGCGCCTCCATTTAAAAAAACAGCTTTGTTGCCCCAAAAAGGAGCTTGAGCAAGGTTCCCTGGACGCAGAGAGGCCTGCTCACACAGCTGGGCACTACTTGTTCTTCGGCCCCCGCTGGGCCTGCCAGGCTTCCACCTCGTCCAGCCGGGCCTGGAAGCCCTTGCACACCCCCCAGAGCATGCTGGTGAGGTGAGAGTAGTCGAGGGTGACCATCTCCGTGCCGTCGCTCCACCGGGCGGTGCCCGTCAGGTTTTCCACTTTGTTCCTGCGAAGTCGTCCGAGGCGAAGCCCAGCCTCAGGTCCTCGTTCATGTCCGGGCGTTTGTACTGCTTGGCCTCCTCTCCGTCTTCACCCGGCTGTCCGACAAATTCGTGAAGCTCGTGTTGCAGACCACGTTGCCCGTGTTGCCTGCGATCACGAGGCAGCCGGGGTTCCTCTGGTTCGTGGTCAGGGACAGCTGCGTGGAGAGGCTCTTCGTCTGCACCAGCGCCTCGTCGTTGATCATGATGAGCTCGCACTGGTGCGCCCCGCCGTCCCGCTCCAGGAAGACCCTCGCGCTCTGGTTGCCCAGCAGCCGCAGCTCCGGGCCGCTGTCGGGGGCCGCGCTGTTGTTGGAAATCTGCAGCTTGCTCCAGCCCGCCCAGTTCTTCGTCAGGAAGAGATTGTCCGAGAAGTCGGAGGTGTTGGTCACGGTGAGCGTGTTGGACGCAAAGAGCTGCGGAGCGGAGACCGTGCCCGAGCTCCAGGCTCTCGCAGTCCAGCGGGCCCGCGGACGCCGCCCCGGTGATCGTCAGCGTGGCGCCTGTGAGCGCCCCGGTGGCTGCGAAGCTCCTGCGCCTGAGGCCGTCAGCGTGCCCGTGGACACGTCGCCCACCGTGGTGAAGTTCCCAGCGTTGGCCGTGTTGTTGATGGTGAGTGTGCTGCCCGTGATTCCGGTGGCCGAGCTCAGCAGGCCCACGCTGGCCGCCCCGGTGATGCTCAGCGAGCTGCCTGACACGGCGCCGGTGGACGACAGCGTGGCTCCGGCGACGGTGCCGGTTGCTGTGAGCGCTGCGCAGGAAATGGCGCCCGAGGCGTCCACGCCCGTCGTGAACACGTCTGTGCAGTTCACGTCGTTGCGCAGCAGCTGGTCGCAGCCCACGTTACCCTGCGCAGTGAGGCCGTCCAGCGTGGCCGAGCCCGTGAGGGCCAGCGAGTCGGCCAGCAGGTCCGTCACGGAGACCGACTCTCCCTTGAAGGCCGAGGCCCTGATCTGCATGCTGTACAGGTCCAGCGTGCCCGCCGACTGCTGCACCAGCCCGGAGATCGACCCGCCGAAGGCGCCGAAGTGCAGCTTTGCGACTCCGCCCGGCGGCACCGAGAAGTCCAGGCGCGCCGTGCTCCAGACACCCTGCGCGGCCGTGCCGAGGAAGGTGCCGGTGACGCCCGCATAGTCGTTGTCGGCTGCGCTGACGTACATCACCAACTTGGAGGCCGTGCCCAGCCTGTACCGGCAGCCAAAGGAGTAGCGTCTCCCCGGCGTCAGGGTGCGCGCAATGCTTTAGGCGAAGGCGCTCAGGCTCATGGCGTAGCCCTCCAGCTGGAAGCCTCCCACCGTGAAGCTGGCCAGCACCAGAAAAATTGCCTAGCGTGGTGAGCGTGGGCTCCAGCAGCACTTCGCCCAGGGTGGCCAGCGTGACGTCGTCGGCCCCTCCGTCGAGCTTCAGCAGCAGGGCCGAGGCCGCCGTGTCCTCCTCCTCCACCTCTGTGTTGCCGGCCTCCAGGGTTGCGTCCAGGATCTAGGATCTGGAGGCCGTAGACGTCCACCGTTCCTGCCGTCTGGTTGGGCAGGCCCGGCGCCTGGAAGTGCGCCCCGAAGTGCAGCTTCGCAACTCCGAAGTACATTTTGGCCGTGCTCCAGGCGCCCTGGTCTCCCGCGAAGCTGCCGTACAGGGGGTCGTAGACGTTGTCGGCCTCGGACATGTGGAGGCCGTGCCGAGCCGGTACCGGCAGGCGAAGAGGAGCTCCCGGCCGGGGGTCAAGTTGTAGGTGCGCGCAATGTTCCACGGGTTCGCTGCCAGGGTCAGAGTGTAGCCGTCCACGCTCACTGCGCCCGCGGTGTGGGTGGCCAGGACCACGCTGCAGCCGCTGCTGGGGCGAACCGTCCAGTTTGACAGTGAGACGTCCGTGGGGGCCAGGATCGTCGGCCCCTCCATCGTCCAAGGGCCAAGGCCGCCTCCCCAACAAACCGTCCACTTGTGCGATGGTGTAGTAGCTGAGCAGCGCGGCTGCGATGCTCGAGGCCGTTGCCGTGTCCTGGTCGGCGGCCGAGCGGTACGCCACCAGCGCTGAGGTGATTTGGTTGGTTGTGAAAACGTCCTGGTCCGGGCGTCCGGTAGGCCAGCGCGCCTGCGATGGCGGCCTGCGTCTGCGTGTCCTGCGCGCTCGCCGTCCGGTAGTCTCCCAACAGGGCGTCCACTTGCGCCGAGGTGTAGTAGGCCAGCAGCGCGGCCGAGATGGCGCCGGTCGTCTCCGCGTCCTGCGCCGTGCCCGTTCGGTAGTCTCCGGTGTAGTAGGCCAGCAGCGCAGCCGCGAGGGCCGCGTCCGCCGCTGCGATGGAGTAGCAGTCGGCCGTGATGCTCAGCGTGTCGTCGCCGTTGGCCAGCGCAGCAGAGAGAGGAGCCTCCAGATGCAGGTTGCGAACGACGTTGCTTCCGCGAACGAGCTCCCAAGTTGTGAAGCCCGCCCAGGCCGGCGCGTTAACAACTCCGCCGCTGCCGGAAAGCTGCAGGGCGGCGAGCTCCGCGAGGATTGCGTCGAGGGCGCTCTGGAGCGTGGTCTCGCTGGCTGAGAGCGCGGCGTTCGTGGCGTACGAGGCCAGCAGCGTCGCG